ATGAAAGAACTTGGTCAACTCTGGACAAAAAGTGTCCAAAGACAAATAGTGAAATAGGGAAAAATATCTGTCATATATGTCAGAATAAAAAGATAAATCTTTAATAATTAAAAAATTATTTAATAATTAAGAAGCCTTTAAAATTAGCAAAAAAGAAGACTGATTCACAAAAAAGAAATATAAATGACTTTAAAAATATATGAAATTATGCAAAATCTCAGCTCTCATACACTTCTACAACAGGGATCACCATTCTGCCCTCCTATCAGAAAAACTCTGGAGTCACCTGGACTCTTACTTTACCCCTTTCATGTCTTTCCCATTCTGCTAGTACTTCCACATTAAAAACAAAATTGCTTTTATTACATGAATTTCTTCCCCATATCATATGCTAGAACTCACGACGACATCAAACCCTTAAGGATGGCATCGAAGGACTTCTAGTGTTAGGGGCTTTAGTCCAACTCAAAATTCATACATTGAAGTCCTACCCCCCAGCACCTCACAATGTAACTGTATTTGGAGATAGGCTTTTATTTTATATATAATGAGGTCATTAGGGTAGGTCCTAATCCAATTTGATTAGTGTCCTTATAAGAGGAGGAAATTTGGACACAGATATGTACAGAGGGAAGATTATGTGAAGACAGCTATCTATAAGCCAAGGAAAGAGGCCTGGAACTGATTCTTCCCTCACAGCTCTCAGAAGGAACCAAGCCTGTCTTTACCCTGATCTCAGACTTTCAGCCTCGAGACCGTGAGAAAATAAATTTCTGTTGTTTAAACCATCCAGTCTGTGGTACTTTATCATGACAGCCATAACAAACTAATACACCTAGTCTGGTCCCAAGATTTCTCCATCTCTCTTAGTGTTCCCTGAGAGGAAGTCCAAAGTATAATAGGCAAAGATTCTTACTGGACCTTGTATCCCTTGTTTAGTCCACTTGATGTTATTCTTTCAAGATGCAGTAACCTGCCCATACTCTGCAACAAAATTCCACCCATTCTTCAGGACTGACACAATTCTTTTCAACTTCCACCTTTGATCAACTGAGCCTATACCACCAGTCTGTCCTTTCTTTGACAAACTTCAAATCCTGATACTCACTGAATTCAAATGATCAATCAATCAACTAATTCCTTTAATCCTGACTTTGTTTCCCATGTATGAGGAAGAAATCTTCACATTATTCCCAGTATCTCCTGTGTATTACCTCCTTCAAGGGGACTGTATTTGTCCACAAGAAGTTTAGTCCTTCTTATAAGCATGAAAAGAATCCAGAGGCGATCCGATCTTAAAGGTTAAGAGGCTAAATGACAACATATTAGAGGAAGCACAATATAGAGGGAAAGTCAGAAAAACTTCCTCTTGGAAAGCCTTTCATTCAGAAGAACAGGCCTATTTGTCACAAGCAGAACAAGTGTGCACAGGTTTGTAAAAGAGAAGATAATAACGGAATGGGCTCTATCTTGTAAGAAATGAAGTGGTGGTCTGAGAAGAATATAAATCCATATTCTCTTGGTGGCCCAGTTCCATATACATAGGGGATGATCTTTTATTTGGAACAGAGTGTAATGAGCAATCTCAACTAGGAAAGCTGAAAGCCTATGAAGATGAACCCATGGTGGTTCCAGATCTTGGAGCTAATGGTCTAACCAGACAGACAAACACATATCAGGTAATTTCCACTAATGTAGGAAGTGCAGATAGGTGAAAGAGGGCTATGCAGATTCAGAAGAGAACTGGAAATTAGACCAGAGGGAGACAAAGGGAAAAAAAAGAGCATTGTTTCCTGGATGAGACAATCAAAGCTGACTCATGACAGGTCAAAAGCAAAGAGCCAGACCACCCATCCATTAAAATGGCTACTATGAGAAAAACAGAAAATAGCAAGTGTTGACAAGGATCTGGAGAAACTGAAATCCTTGTGCCCTGTTGGTGAAAATGTAAAATGGTGCAGCCACTGTTGAAAACAGTATGGCAGTTCCTTGAAAAATTAAACATAGAATTGTCACATGATCCAGCAATATATCCACAAGAATTAAAGGCAGAGTCTTGAAGAGATATTTGTACACCTATGTTCATAGTAGCATTATTCACAATAGCCAAAAGGTGGAAGCAACCTAAGTGTCCATCACAGGATGAATGGATAAACAAAATGTGGTATATTCATACAATGCAGTATTATTCAGCCTTAAAAAGGAAGGAAATTCTGATACATGATTCAACATGGATGAACTTTGAGGACTTTATACTAAGTGAAAGAAGACAGTCACAAAAAGACAAAAACTATATGATTCCACCTATTTGAGCAGTGAAATTCATAGAAACAGAATGGTGGTTGCCATGAGCCGAAGAGAGGGAGGAGTGGGGAGATGCTGTTTAATGGATATAGAGCTTTAGTTTTGCAAGATGAAAAGAGTTCTGGAGATTGGTTGCACAACAATATAAATGTACTTAACACTACTGAACTGTACACTTAGAAAATGGGTAAGATGGTAAATTTTATGCTATCTATATTTTACAATTAAAAATAAAATGAAAAAAAAGAAAAAGTAAAGAGCCAGGTGACTCAGTTGCACTGGCTGCCATAATGAAATCCCATAGACTGGATGCCTTAAACAACAGTAATTTATTTCCTCACAGTTCTAGAGGCTGGAAGCCCGAGATTAGGGTATCAGCATGGCTGGGTTCTGGTGAGGTTCTCTTCCTGGCTTACAGGTGCCACCTTCTCAAGGTGTCCTCATATGGCCTTTCCTCAGTGCCTGTGTGTGAAGTCTCTCTCTTTTCCTCTTCCTATAAGGCCACCACTCCTATCGAATTAGGATTCCCACACATAACAACTTCATTTGACCTTCATTACCTCCTAAAAACCCTGTCTCCAAATACCATCACATTGGGGGTTAGGGCTTCAACACAGGAATTTCGGGGGGACCCAAATCAGTCCACAACACCAGGTGAATGAAATGAAGACTTGGTCAATCCAGAGAAGACAATGAGAATGGGATATGAGGCAAGAGTCAGGAACAGTAGGATGTGTTTAAGAAACTAAATGAGGTTTGGTTTTGCTTTAAAGTTATATACTGAATTTTTTAATGTCATATTTCCCACTAGATTGTAAATACTATTAAGAAAGAAAAGTATCTGTATTATTTAAGTTGTAACTAGAGCACGTGTCACCTCCTTGCAACATCTTGGCTACTCAATAAATAGCTGTCAAGAAAGTCAGAGCAGCAATAAAGTAAAAAGACAAAATGAAATCTGTAATGTCTCCAAAGCCTGAATGTTATTCTGAGAAATTGGGAATTTTATTGTTTAGGGATGAGAGGCCACAGAGGTGATATACAAATGCATGATACATTACCTCATTAGCATTTAGATGAACTACCCATGTGGAAGATGTGCCTGAGTAGGTGAAGAAAGAGGTGGGACAGATCAGTAAAGAAGCTATTCCACCAGTTCAGTTGAGAGGAGGAATAAAGTAGAGGAATATGTTTAAAATACATTAAATTGAACCATATAAAATTGCTGTTATCTCTGATCTACACAAATAGGAAAAGTACCCAGACGTGATACTGGCCAGATGTGGCAGGAGTTAAGAGAGTGAGAGAGAGAGCAACAGGAGTCAAGCATGCATTCCATTTTTTGTGGCTTGGGTGCCTGGCTGAATGGGGTGATACCATCTATAGGGAAAGATGAGGAGGATTAGTTTGGGAAGGGCTATGAATGTTGACTTTTACTTTGAATCAGTTGTGCTGGAGATACTTTTAGATACCTACAGAGAAATGTTGAGTCAACTATGTCCTGTACGGTAGCCACATATGACTATTTTAAACTTAAAAATTCAGTCCCTCAGCCACTCTAGCCACATTTCAACTGCTCAAGAGGCACATATAGCTACCGGTCACCATTTTGGAAATGCAGATATAGACCATTTCCATCATCACAAAAAGTGCCATTGGTCAGGGTGGGCTGCAGAGCCTCATTTGGGAGACCAGCAAATACATCATTGTTAAAACCAGAAATGGGATGAAATGAGTCAAGAATAGTTAGAAGAATAGTGAGAAGGAACAGAAACTTGTAGAGGAGACATGTGAAAGGGCAGGAGAAGGAAGATGACTCCATGAAAGAAACAAGAGGCAGGACAGTGGCAGAGGAGGGTGTCACACATACTAATGCAGGAGACCTTCCAGAGACACAGAGAGGGGGGAGTCAGGCACTGAGACAGGTCTAGTGAGGTAAGGACTACACAAGACCCATTAGATTTGACTGTAATTAGGTCACTGGTGAGTGCAGGTCACAGGCATATGAAGAGAGACACCAAGGCTTCATGCAGTGGACTGAAGTATGAATGGAAAGTGTGGTAATATTTGCCAAAGAACAGTACTTTAAACTGTCTGCTAAACAACTTGTTTATGACAGGTACTTGAGAGGAATATTTATGGAGAGCTATTTTTACGGACATGAACGTACAGCCATTCATACTGACCTCTAGTTAGTCTAAGAATTATCCCTGGATCCAACAGGATAACTCAACTTCTGTTTTACTTATCCGAACACCTGTTTTAACAAAAGCCCTGCTTTGGCAATATGCCCTTTATTTTCAGTGGAATTCTTTTCAGGGTTGTCATTGGAAAGATCTGTACTATTACCTACATGAAGACCAACAAAGACATTTCTCCTGACTTTGACGACTTTAAATTCCATGAGGAATGTCTGGTTTAAGCTTCTCATCAACATAATTCTTCAAACAAATATTGTCTGTCTAACTCTCTGCCACGGCTATCAGAAAGGTCAGAAGAAATTTCCAGCTGCACTTTGGAAAATCTGTAATATCAGAGGACCTTTATCTATCCACATGACAACTCTGCTGTGCTATTCATCTGCTTTTCTATTATCTTCCTTGAATAATTCTGATCCGTTTCTATATCTACTTTGCCATGTTAATTAACCATCTATACAATCCATTATAAAAAAAAGGTGTTAATGAACAACTCACCTGAGATATGTTCATTTTCTGCTGCTCCTGAGAGAATGCAGAGAACTGTGAAGAATAAGCTGGGGGTAAAGAAAAGAGGGATGGAGTCAGGATAGGTCTGGTGAGCTTCTGTATTCACTAGCCTAATCTCATCACACCAGTTGGGAAAGAAGTCTCTCTATGGAAAAATGTTCTGTTGATCCTTGAGGAGCAGGAAGCACCACATAGAGACAGCACTCCCTGAATATGTACATCTCTGATGTGATCATATGGATATAACCCTGCTGTTTTTCATTTCATTTCATTTCGTTTTTACATCACTGGGTGATGTAAATTATTTTCCTATTGATTTAAAAAAATGTATGTCCTCTCTGACTAATTCACAAAAAACTAAAACAGAGGATTAATATTAATATCCTATTATTTACACCTTGAGTTAGAAAATCAACAGAAAACTCTGAATAAAAAGATAATGACAAAATATTTTAAAATCTTTTTGTTCTGATTTGTTGCAATTTCTCAAAAAGACTTTTGATAAGACACTTTTAGTGACTTACCTGTGACAGAATGAACAGTGCTGTGTTTTGAACAGCACTGTGCTTTGCTCCTAGCTCTGTCCTGGGTGACCAGGGGACAAACATCTCAAGTTCAGTATTTTGTTTTAAGGTTTTAAGAGTCAAAAGTAGAAATCTTTTCCTATATTATCATTTCGTGATTCTATATGTTCAGCATAAAGGAAGCCACAGCCTACCTCTAGATGCCACGTGTAATGAACATGGCGTGACACTGGCTCAGAATCTGAAAGAATGAGAGAATGAAGAAAGTGGGGGGTTATTTAAGGACTTAAGACAGAATTTCCTTGACTCTGGCTGTGGCTTTACCTGTGCAGTATATCAGTCACCCATCCCTTTCCACCCCTGCTCACCACCTTCTGCAAGCTGATCCACAGTTTCCACGGTCACACAGTCTGTGACGGATTCTGGATGTGGTGACATCACCAAGTCTGGCTCTCTCTAGGCAAGGTGATTAAGATCTAGCTCTTAATCACCTTGGAGCGAATCACAACCTGCTCCTTTCTGGGTTCTTCTGCATCTGTTCTGAAGCTCTGATGAGGGTGGTTCCTCTGATATGGGACTCCTGTCCCCACCTTTCTGCCACGAAAGAGCTGCTTTGTTCCAGAGATGCTGAGACTTAGGCCTAGGAAACAAATGCATTTTAGTTGAAACTTTCATATAGAGCAGTGTTTCTCAACTTCAGCACTAATGATATTGTGGGCTGGATAACTCTTTGTCATGGGGGTGAGGGGTGCTGTCCTCTGCATTGTAGGATGTCAAGCAGCATTTCTGGCTTCTACCCACCAGGTGCCAGTAGCACTTCTCCCAGTTGTGACAACCAAAAATGTCTCTGGACATTTCCAAAGGTCCGGGGAGCAAAATCACCCTGGTTGGGAACCACCGGTGCAGGGCCTTAAACTTGCTTCTCCTGCAATTCATTAGAACTCTTTTATCCATTATGGTAGCCACTAGCCACAACCCACTATCAAGCACTTGAAATGTGGCTCCTGCCGCATGTTGAAGTAACATTTTTGATATATTGAGACAGACACAATATGTTCTTACAATTAATTTCACTTGTTTCTTTTTAGTTTTTAGCGTGGCTATTAGAACATTTAAAATTACATACGTGGCACACCTTCTCTTTCTATTGGACAGCAATGCACTAGAACATCAGACTGTGCTTTCTGAGGACAGAGACAGCCTGGACAGTGCAGAAGTTTCCAGGAGCCTTAGTCTTAACCCAGAGGCTCTGGAAACATTCCACAAATCCCAGAGTAAACACACCTGTCACAGAGTGAGATTCAGTTCACACTGACTTTACAATCACAGTCCTGGGCATTTGGGGACAAGTCACTCTGCTAGTGCTGTGATAGCTGCAACACTGGGTTTTGGGTAGGCAGGACATTAGGAACAGCTTGAATTTGGGAGGAAAGTATACCCTTTTTTACATCCTAGCTTCCTCACCTTTGTGACCTTGGGTCTATTATTTCACTTCTCTGAGACCATTTTCTTCTTTTTTAATGATAGAATTATACCTTTATTATAAATAGGGTGGCTGTGAGGATTAAAATCTAAATGAAAAGAACAAAGTGTCTGGGCTTCCGGGGTGGCGCAGTGGTTGAGAGTCCGCCTGCCGATGCAGGGGACACGGGTTCGTGCCCCGGTCCGGGAGGATCCCACATGCTGCGGTGCGGCTGGGCCCGTGAGCCATGGCCGCTGAGCCTGCGTGTCCGGAGCCTGTGGTCCGCAACGGGAGAGGCCACAACAGTGAGAGGCCCACGTACCGCCAAAAAAAAAAAAAAGAACAAAGTGTCTCCTAACTATGATGCGAGCCAACATTATATGTTGGCTTATTAACTACTACTTATTAGTGCTTATTGCCTAGCACTTGGCTGAATGCCTTACCGGTGAAGACTTATCTCTTTGAACAACGCCACGAAACAGTTATTAATAACCTTATTTTTAGGTGAGAAACCTGACTTATGCCCAAGTAACAGAGAAGGAATTTACTCGATCTGTTTGGCTCCTAAGCTCGGGAGCTCAACTCAGACCCACCGCCCGCGCGCGCTTCGTGGCAGGTTCACGGTCAATATTATAAACGTGCATTGCCCTTCCACTGCTGGCAAGGGACTTTCCCAGGTCCGGCTGCGGTCAGCTCCCACACCCGTGCCGCACCGAGCATTTCTGCCCAGCACTCAGCCCCACCTACGGCCCCGGAGCCCGCCCCCATTCACCTTTCCCAGGTTTACCCACTGGCCAGGCACGGAGACAGGCGATGGGAGTCCCACGTTGGGGCAGGAGGGGTTTCCGGGACTTGCCGTTCCTTGACCCGGGACACAAGCCTACCCTTCCAAGCTGGATGTCCGGACCTAAAACGTCCTCACCTCAGGCGCAAAGCCTCTGCGCCCACCAGTCGGGAAAGGGCGGAAGTAGAAGAGTTGGGTTACCTCACCAGCGCGGAGAAAAGCCCAGGACATCCGTTCCCAGAATGCTGCGCGATAACCGGAAACGTTCAAGACTACGTTTCCCATAAACGCTGCAATCACTCGTGTGTGTGTGTGTGTGTTTGTGTGTGTGTGTGTGTGTGTGTGTGTGTGTGTGTGTGTGTGTGTGT